ATTTCTTCTGCATTTGAAGAGAAATATAGTATAGAATTATCATAACCTTTTCCTTTGTTCTGAATTTCTCTCCCTTCATAATTTACAAGAATCATTTTAATGGAGTATAGAATTATTAAAATCAATTCAATCTATCTTTTTCTTAATAATTTATAATTGACATTCTATGATTAATGGATTTTTTTTTTTTTTTTTTTTTTTTCAACGCAAGTGGCCTATTTTTTATATTATTTTTTTTATGATGAAATATGATTCTAACGACAAATTATAGTAAATTAATTGTACTTATAACATAATAAAGGGTCAAATGAGTAGTAAAAATAGGGATGGGTAAAAATAATTTGAAATTCTCTCTTCTCTCTTTTCCTAAATGAACAAAATAGGTTGTTATCTTCTTCTCTTCTCTTCTATCCAACTGAACAAAGTGAGAGAAGTTCATAATATCTTTCTTAGGGATGTCTCATCATTCTCTTCTTCTCTCCCTTCCGTCCAATTTTTTTTCGTTCCTACTGGATGGAGCATTAGAGATATCAAAAGAGTAGCTTCTGGAAGTGTCTGCCCCATTCACTTGGAACTAGAGGCGGCTTGCAAGTTGGCCATAGGCTGATTTTGGTTTTGCCAAAGCCTCACAAGTATAGGCCTTCTCTATGTTGAGCTCAGCCATATTCACCTCAAACTCTCTTTCAACTTCAGTGGTATACACCTCATAGCTAGGATCACGATAGTAAGTGCCCTTGGAGGAGCTCTTCTTGTCTTGCTCCTCGTGAAGGAGCTCTTCATACTTGGCCACTACTCTGCCGGCCAAGTCGAACAAATCATGGAATTGTATTCCTTCAAACTTCTTACAAAGTTCAAATTCTAGGCCATTTACAGCCATCTTTACATATTCTTCTGGTGGCATAGATAAATTACATTTATACTTGGCCCTTCTGAATCTAGAAAGACAAATTATATAGTTGATGAAGTCTGGAAAGGTCTGCCATAGACACTTCAAGCTTAGCTCTACAGAACTTAGTATGGAATGAATCCTCAAATTGCTGCCAACTTTAGATGGAGTTGGCTGGCAAGTTGGAATACTACCTGAAAGCATAGCCAGTCAATGTGTTTGGAAATAAGCGTACCTTCAGCCATGGATTGGCTATTGCTTCTCCACATTGGATAGTGAAAAAACTGATATGTTCCAATGTGGACTGTTTGCCCTCTCCATTGAACGTTGCAAACTCTGGAATTCTGAAATTCCTTGAAAATTCAACTTCATCAATGAACTCTGGATAGGGCTTTCTGTAGGTTGGCCTTCTACCCCTTCGAGTTAGGCCAACCTTGAGGTGGATTGGCCACTTGATGCCCCAAACCCACCATTAGCAGTGGGTTGGCATCTGTATAATTATTCCTGCCACGGTTCCTTCCTCCTTGGTTAAAAAGTGGCTTCCTTGGAAAAGGTTGCCCCCCAATTGCCATAGGAATGACCATTGGTGGCTTAAAGGAATAGGTGCGGCTAGCTGAATATTTACAGGTGGAACATTCCGTTGTGCTTGAGGAATGTGATATGGCCATGGTTGGCCAGACTAATCATGCCAAGTCTGTTGTGGAAAAGCCATAGGTTGAGGGTTCTGGACTTGCTGAATGGCTGGCATGGGTGCCGTTTGTGGAACAGTCATCTGTGCCACTGGAGTGGTCATAGGTGCAGTTGGAATGTAAGTCTGTGCCATTGGAAGGGACTGCACCTGCTACTGAGTTGGAGGGAACGGCCTTGCATGTTGTTGAGAGGAAGTACCTTCAACAAATATGGCTGGCTTGCTAGCTTGGAAGGTCGACTGTTGAAACCCTTCAGAGTTATTTGACCGAAGGGCCAAACCTTGAGTCAAACCTCAAAGGGACCGTTCCAACATGGACTCAAACTTATGAGAGATTTGGTCCACCATTTCTGTTAGATTCCGTTCTTGAGAAAGAACAGCTTTAGATTGGTTTTGAGCAACTCTGGCTAAGTCTTGAGTGACTTTTCCTTGGTCTTGCGCAAACCTATCTTAATGCATTGCCACCATGCAGATAATGCCCATGATGGGTCTATTTGCCATTGTTTGAGCAAAATTTTCCACCATATCATTTTCATCAGGTGCAAATCATGAACTTTCCACTGGAAGTTCACTGGCTTGCATCTTTTCTAGTTCGGCAGGGTCTTGGACAGACTTGCCTTGCCTTCTTCCACAGGACATTGAACAATCTGTTGATATGTCCACCGGGCTTGCCAAGATGTTCGACTCCTAAAAACCGTGGTCCTTTCCAAGTGCGAAAAGGAGGGTGAGTGTCGGGCGTGCCAGGAACTGCTGTTGTTTAAAAGTGGATATCCGAACAATTATCCAATAGGAGATTGCAAGGATCAGGCGATCGTACAAAGGACTGGAATTACCACCTTCAAGGGTTCTTTTTTCCTTGAAAAAGGACTTCTGGATTACTCTATGGCTAGTAGAAAGGAAAGCGGTATTGAAAGTGCAAGACTTCAAAGTAACATGCTGGAAAGTAAGAAAGATAAGTACGGGACTTGAATTAAATATATTGAAAGTGCATTACATGAATGTAAAGATACATGAATGTAAAGTAATTGAAGTGCTGTATTGCTGTGTGATTTGAACAGGATTTGCAAACTAGCTCTAGGTATTCTATTTATAGAGCTCCTCTATGCATGTTGCAGCTTGATGTCGCAACTTCAGTGATTTCCACGTGGATTGGCCTGAAGTTGCCAAATGTCACATGTCTTTGGTGGTTATTCCCAGTTTTACAACCATCTTTCTCTGTCTTCTTCCTTCTTTGTGTTTCTTCCGAACATAATTCTTGCCATGTCTTCTTAGTTTTCCATAATCATGAATCGTGGGTAGTTTTGGAGTGGGTTTTCCACTTGTCTTCTTCATGAACCTCTATGTGTCCCACGTTCCTGTTTTTCTTCCTCATGTTGTCGACTTCTTTCCTTAACTTCAGACATGATCTTATCAACTTTAGCCTTGTCACCCATGATCCTTGATAACTTCCCCCGGTTAGTGGTAGTTCTCATATGAATTTCCACCACTTTCAACCGACGTGTTTATATTTGGCCAAGTATCCCATGATTTTAGGAGTCATTTCTTTCCATAGCGTCGTGGGTTGTATCTGATACGAATATATATACATTTATATATATACATAAATATACATCATCCCCTTTTCTTCTGCACCTACATTTCCTTGATTTCAATAATCTCCCTCAACCAGACTTTCCTTTCTAGTTTTTAGACTTCATGATGCCATGGACTCCTTAATTTCAATGTTCTTCTCATCGTGGATTGGCATCCTCAATTTTTATAACTTCTCTTCTTGAGAATTTCCTTCCAGGTTCAGAATTTATGGCGTAGTGGCTTCTTTAGCAACTCCTTTATTTATCGTGGGCTACATATATATATATATATATATATATATATATATATATATATATATATATAGAAATATATTTTTCATTTCTGTAAAACATCACTCCACTTCCTTTGTAAATAACCACGTTGTTTAATCTAGTCAGAAGTAGTTGTTGAAGCCTTCTAGTTTTTAGGAGAAAATCTAGTCCCACGTCTTGCTTAGTCAACCCTGATTTCATAATTAAATGAAAAATATCCATTTAATTGGTATCCTTTAAAAATAAGATTTTCCATGAACCTTCAATAAAACCAACTCTTAAAAGAATTGATCTATCGTGGCTAGCACCATGGCAAGCTCAGTAGAACTCGCGATGTGTTAATAAACCATTGGTTGGATGAATATGACTTGGATAAGTGTATGAGGTTAAATATAGTATGGTATTTCCATGTAATCTCTTCATTCCATATATGAAGAGGTGGGTCCTTGTTTTAAAGATGGCAAGTCCTAATAGGACTTACCTCTTTTCCTTTTAAAATAGAAAACCCCATATGGTAGGATTATATTTACCCACTTGTCTAATTACTACGTAATATTACATAGCTTCTAATAATAATTCATAAGAGTTGCGATCCAGCGTGGTAAGTTCTATTGGAACTCGCCACATACTTCCTCCTTATTGGTGGATAACACAAAATTAACCTTCAGCAATTCCATACTATGCTTCCTCCTTTGGACATTTAAAGCACCAATTTAGTGTGGCAAGCTCATTGGAACTCGCCACATGTTGCCTTTCCATTGGGCAAAAAATAATGGAGTAAACAATATGTATTGAAACACAATATTGTACTTTTAATAATAAGTATAGATATAGATAAATATGATATAGGCATTTGCTTAACCTTTTAATAAAATTGTTTACCTCAATTTGTATCAAAATTGTTTATCCATTTTTGTTGTTAATTTGGTTTTCAAAATTTAAACGGATTAATAGGTCCACAATAGAGATGAAATATATATATATACAGGGGCGGAGCCAGTAATTTATGTCAGAGGGGGCACAATGCACTTATTAAAAAAAAAAAAATACGACAATATAATTTTTTAAATCAAAAGGCCAAATAAGAAAAAAATAATAATAATAGTTGTAAAATAATATGCTAAATAAATACCGTAAAAAATATATAGTTACCAATATAAGAATCAAAATATTAATTAATAATATTTTAATTAAATACAATCACCAATGTCATCGATAAAAAGAAATAAGTTTTAAAAAAATAGAAAAATACATAATTATACATAAGTGAAAAAAGAAATTTTTTGAAAAAGGAAACAAAAATTAGAAAAGGAAAAATATATTGTATATTTGAAGAAGGGATATATGTAATTTTTTTAAAAAAAAAAGGAAATTAAAAGAATTTGAAAATTTGAGGAGGGGGGGAGGAGGGGCACTATTTAAAATTACCATGTAAGTATATATATATACAAAAAAATATGTACATATGTATAGAAGGTTGGAGCAAAGTGAGGGGGTACGTGATATATATATATTCAGAACTTTCAAACATGAAATTTGGGTAGAAATTAGTTTTTTTATTTTCCATGATATATATACGTACCTTGCAGTTGAAGAGAGCTTGTATTTCGGAAATGCCTTCCTCTGATATTTCTTCTTTTTCAGAATCACAACTTTTGCAGAAACTTTTCAAGCTTGGCAACTCGTCAAGTCTCAAAATCTTCAACTTCGTGAACATGGTAATCTCATGACTTGTGTTTGCTTCTTGAACCGGGAGTAATTGATTGTCGCATATAGCTATAATGCTATTCAATTTTTGAATGTCCAATACCTCCAAGACAGGACAATTAATCTGTGATTCATTACATTAAATTTTGTTAACTAATGAACTTGTACGTATACGATTTTAACTATAAAAAAAAAAATGGTATATCATTAACAACCATATTTGTCTCTCTTAGTTACAGTCTACTATAAATACATATATATTTCATATATATTTTTTGGTTCTATGTTCACACAAAATATAAATAAATAATTCAATTACTCTCATTAAATATCTTCCAAGAAGAGTCCATCTTATTTCCAATCTACTTCATCTACCATCCAAACCCCAGTTACATGAGAAACAAAAAAAACAAAAATCATAATAATAATAATAATAATAAGCATTTCCCAAAACGTTTAAATAGCAAAGCAAAATTTTATCTGGACTTCTGATTATCTGATGGGCCTGTTATTGGGCTTTCTTACTTTTTGGTCTTAAGGTTTGCCCTTTTGTGTTTTGGGCTGCCTATATCAGCTTGGGTGTGTATGGCCTCTTTTTGCAAAGCCGCCTCTTCGGCCAGCATGTATTCTTGGAGTCATACACACACTAGTAAAGCACATGTGCAATCGTAATGAAAAGTTATATTATAAACTTAATTAAAAAATTTATATAAAAATTATCAAAATAAATTCACTTTTTCAAATAATTGATTAATAACTTGTTGAAAGAAAACATAATATACCTATAATAAAATAAAGAATTTGAACCATGCTGCGAAATCAATCAAAATAAATTAAGGTATTTTTTTAAAAATAAATGGTGACATGACATAATTAAACAAATACAAAAATAAAAATAAAAAAAAAACACGATTCAAAGAATAAAACATAATTTTTTTTTAAAAAAAATCAACATGATTAATGCAATTTAAAAAATAATGTACCTATAATAAAATAAAAAACTTTGAACCATGCTACGAAACCAATCAATCAAAATAAATTAAAAGCAAAGAATTTTGAACCATCATGTGTTATATCACCTGTTCGCCAAATCTCAATTTTTCACGTACAAATGTAACTAATGTATCTCACCATTTATTATAATAAATCATAAGAATAATTTAATTATAAAATTATAATATTATAATGTAATTCAATTAGCATGATTAATGCAATTCAAAGAATAAAACATAATTAAAAAAAATCAACATGATTAATGCAATTCAAAGAATAATGCACCTGTAATAAAACAAAGAATATAAGCAACTTGTTTAAGTTGTTATAAGAAATGAAACATCTTGATTGAATTTTAATTAACAATTACTTATTTAATTTTAATTTGTAATTTATTTAATGATTTGAAACATCAATAGGATTTATTTTAATTGGTAACTTATTTTATTATTTGGTAAATTATTTTGTTCTTTTACCTATAAATGATTTGAAACATCTTGATTGAATTTCAATTAAACAATTACCTATTTAATTTTAATTGTTAATTTATTTAACGGTTTAAAACATGTTGATAAAATTTCAATTAAACAATTACCTAATCTTAAATGAATTGAAACATCTTAATTGAATTTTAATTAAACAATTACTTATTTAATTTTAATTGGTAATTGATAATTAATTTTATTATTTGATAAATTATTTTATTAAAAAATTATCTATTTGATTTTAATACGTAACTTGTTTTAGTTGTTATAAGATTTGAAACATCTTCATTGAATTTCAATTAAACAATTACATATTTAATTTTAAATGGTATTTATTTAATGATTTGAAACATCAAATTTCAATTAAACAATTATCTATTCAATTTGTAATTCATTTTATTTATATCAATTATTAATTATTTTTTATATTAATAAATAAATATTAAAATACTCATTTTATTTTATATCAATTATTAAATATTTTTTATATATTAATAAATAAATACTGAAATTCTATAATTCATTTTATTTATAAAAACACTTTTATTTTAATTCATTTTATATCAATTAATAAGTATATTTTTATATTAATAAATAAATACTGAAACACTGAAACTCTTTTATTTTAATTCATTTTATTTATAGAAACTCTTTTATTTTATTTCATTTTATATCAATTAATAAATGTATTTTTATATTAATAAATAAATAAATAGTGAAACATTGAAACTCTTCACACATTTAATAATAGTGTGTGTGTGTATATAAATATATATACATTTGCTTAACCTATGAAAAAAATTGTCGGGGGAAGTAAGGTCGAAACCCAAGATGATTAATTCATCTTTGTTGTTAATTTTGGTTTTCAAAACTCAATTGGATTAATAGGTCTGCAAATAATTTCAAGGAATCATAGAATATATATATATATATAGAGAGAGAGCATACCTTTTCATTAAAGAGAGCTTGTTCAATGGTGGAAGGGTTGCACTCTGTAGTTGATGTCTTTTTCGTATCGGAATAGATGCTTCTGATATTCGGCAAATTCACTAACCACAATTTCTTTAACTGACCAAAAAAAACATTATCCATGACGTCCTCATCACCTCCAACTATTTCTTCCAACATCTCACAATTTGTAATTGTGAGATTATGCAGATTTGAAAGACATCTTGCGGTGGAAGGAGAAAAGAGATACTTGATTGATCTACATTTTCCAACTTCTAATATGCTGAGTTTACCAAAAGAACCCAACGGGCATGGTGTATGAGGTTTTCCTAGTAGATATTCCATGTCATGACAATTCTTAACTTTAAGAGACTCCAAGTCTAAAAACCACTCTCCGTCAATGTGGTGAAGCACCTTCTTTGCACCTTCCGAATTAAGCAAAAATAGTACTTCAACATTCTTCATCAAAACATTGAACTCAATTTTCCAAGGAACATTCTTGAGTCCCAAGATCTTTGTTTTCGTGTATTCATGATTGCACCTCCCATCATAATCCCCGATCCAAATATGAAATGTTGTCAACGATTGAAAGCTGGGAAGGTCATTCTTGGGCAATAAGATGATATGTTTTGGTATACGAATATGTAAACTGGTTAAGCTACTCAAACAATGTAGCTCTGCAATACTTACATTGCCTTCATCACCCCATGTGTCAAATCTCAACGGAAGGTACAATTCCTCCAGGCCGGATAGATGTGATAGGACGCCCGACTGAAATATTTCAGCCATCTCACAATTACATTTTCTTAAATCCAACGAACGCAGATGATTTAACTGTACTACTTCATCAACCATCAGTTTATGTTGGAAATCATCATCAATACTTAGGATATCAAGGATTTTAAAATTCTTGAGGAAAGATAGATCCACCAACTTACAGTAGTGCAGACGCAACATCCGAAGATTAACCAGATTTGAAAGTGATGATTGCAATAGATTTATTCTATACAAATCCAAAACTTCCAGATTTTCTACCCATTTAAAAAAGTTACTAGGGAGTTCTAGTAATTGTGAACCACCAGGTGTGTTGCATCCCAACACTAGGGTGCGTAGTTCTCGGCAAACTAATTGATCCGGAAGCCGACTAACATTGTGGGAAGTCCTTAATGATATTGCTGTGCAACGTCTATAATCATTTTTTTCGGGCCAAACATTGACAACATCTTTTACGAGAAACACATTCGAATCTTTTGATGCAATTGAAATAGCAACATCCCGAATTACGTCATGCATTTTGACGGAATTTTCATCTTTACCTTCCAACAATAAATTAGATTTCTTAAGGATATTACCCAACGTTTTTGCTCTATCTCTTTTCTTTTTCATTGTATCCGAGCTTCGAAGAAACCCTGTTCCCACTCCATACTTCACCAAATCATCAATATAAATCTTGCAACCCTTGCTATTATCTATATCATCTGGAATTCCGATTTTCTTCAGTGTGATCTGATCACCCCAAAGGTCATCCAATATCACAAGGATTTTTCTCCCGTTCTTCAATCTATTGCGTAGTTCAGCAGCTCTCCCTTCTTCACTCTTTTTTTTTAGTTCCAAATTTAAACAATCTGCAAGTTTTTCTTGGATTTTCGTCAGATCCGGATTCTGAGAGAAAACTGCCATTGCAACCTCATCAAATAGGCCTTTTTCAGCTTGTTTTCCAGCTTCTTCCACCATTGTTGTCTTTCCAACACCGGGCATTCCATATATTCCAATTTTGTAATTACTGTCATCTTTCATCGCCTCCATGATCTTGTTAAAAACTGAATTTCTGGATTCAAATTGCTCAAAATTTGTGGAGGAGACATTCCAAATACCAGTGAGATGAGGAGTACGTGCATGTGTCTCAAACTTACCTTCATCTTTTAGGCCAGTAACAACCAAACTCTTCTTTTTTCCTTCCCTACCTAGCTGATGCCTCGAGCAAACATCAAGACAACAGAGGTTTTGTCTGTCTTGCAATAACTTCGTCACTTCTTCAAACGTGATCAACGACCTCTCTACTTTCTCAAGCCACTTCGAAACATCTTCCTCCACTACCATCCCATTGTCCTTGGCCATTTCGACATCGTCTTGGACCCTCTTCATACAAGCTCTGAGATTCTCAACTTCAACTTCAAAACTCTTGATGTTGTGTTTGTAGTGAAACACATAACCAATTTGACGCCGAGTGGATGTGAACAAAAGCTCTATCATTGGCTCTAACATTTTTCCCACAATAGTATCAACAACATCCATTTTCAACCCACTGGCTATCTACCCTTTTTTTTCTTTTTTGGGGGGTGGAAATGATATAATGAAGAGTTCTAACACAGGAAGTCTGATTTTAATTGAGAAACAGGAGAAAGGAAAGTACAGAAAAGTGAAGATTCTCAAAAGCAATAATGCTTACTCAAATTTTCCAGAAAAGTCAAGAGGGTGAGACCTCGAGAGTAATAGATATTGCAGATTGAGAGGTTTTTCTTTTTTTTTTTGAAATTGGTGATAGAGTTTAAGTTTCGTAAATTAATAAATTTTTTATGTTTTTATATTAATACTGAAATATGTATATTTTATTTTTTATTAAATAATAATTTTTTATTTTAATAGTGAAATATTTGAGTTTTTCAAAGTAACAAATTTTTTTAGGTAATTTGAATTTTATTAGGTAATTTGTAATTTGAATTTTATTAGATAATTTGAAATTTAGTATAATTTTTAATTTATAATAGAAATTCAATTATATTAATTTTTAATTAAATTTTAAAATAGAAATTCAATTATACTAATTATAAAATAGATTGAAATTGATATAAAAATTTATTATATGGAATTTGTGATTTTTGGAAGACCCTGGGTTATATTTTATTTTCTTTAAATATGTAGTTTGAGATAGAATTTTATAGAAATTATTTTATTTTATTAAGATATATCTTTGTAAAATTAGATTTTCTTTTATTAAAAAACTCATAAAAAATAGATAAATACAAGGGTTATATACTTATACGTGATAGAGTTCTCTTTTGTATTAATTAATAAATATTTTTTATATTAAAAAATAAATACTGAAATGTTTAAATTTTTTAACATTTATATTTTATTTATATGTATTATTATATTATTATATATTTTCTTTAAATATATTCTTGTCTAATGTGATAAAGTTATAGAAATTATTTTTTTTTCTTTAAATATGTCCTTATTTAATTAGATTTTATTTTATTAGAAAACTTATAATAAATAGATGAATACAGGTTATATGTGATAGAGTTTTAAAGAAAATAAAATACTTAATTTGTGGTAAATTTTAGTAATTTTTGTTAGAGTTTTATAAAAACTATTTAAATATATTCTTATCTAATGTGATAGAGTTTCATTGCAAATAAAATAGGTAATTTGTGGTAGAATTTTATATAAATTATTTATTTTCTTTAAATATATATATCCTTGTCTAATTATATTTTTTTATATTAAAAAACTGATAATAAAAGATAATTTGTCGTAGATTTTTAGAAAAATTATTTTATTTTTATACCAATTATTAAATATTTTTTATATTAATAATTCTTGTCTACATATATTATATTTTATTAAAAAATTCATAATAAATACATAAATAGGTAATTTTTATTAGAATTTATATAAACACTTTTCAAAATATATTTTATTTTCTTTAAATATATCGTTGTCTAATTAGATTTCTTTCATCAAAAAAACTCACAATAAATAGATAAAAACAAGTTATATGTGATAGAGTTTTAAAGAAAATAAAATAGATAATTTGTGGTAGAGTTTTATAGAAATTATTATATTTTCTGGAAATCTATTTATAATAAATAAGCAAATAGGTAATTTGTGCTACAGTTTAATAGAAACTCTTTCAAAAACACTTTTTGTATCAATTAATAAATATTTTTTTATATTAATAATTCTTGTCTAATTAGATTTCCTTTTATTAAAAAACTCATAATAAATAAGTAATTTTTGTTAAAGTTTATAGAAACTCTTTTCAAACCTCTTTTTATATTAGTTAATAAATATTTTTTTATCTTAATAATGCTTGTCTAATTAGATTTTCTTTTATTAAAAAAAGTCATAATAAATAGATAAATAGGTAATTTGTGATATAGTTTTATAGAAACTCTTTAAAAACTCTTTTAATAAATAATTATTTATATTAATAATACTTGTCTAATTAGATCTCCTTTTATTTAAAAAAAAACACTTAATAAATATATAAATAGAAAATTTGAGTTAAAATTTTATACAAACTCTTTAAATATTATATCTTTGTCTATTGTGATAGAGTTTTATTGAAAATAAAATTTGTGATTTGTAATAAAGTTTTATAAAAATTATTTTATTTTCTTTAAATATATCCTTGTTTAATTAAATTTAATTTTATTAAGAAACTCATAATAATAGTTAATTTATGGTAGAGTTTTAGAAAAATTATTTTATTTTATATATCAATTAATAAATATTTTTTATATTAATAATTCTATTCTAATTACATTTTCTTTTATTAAAAAATTCATAATAATAAATAAATAAATAGATTAACTTAAATTTTATTTGATAGATTTTAGAGTTTGATTGACATTTTTTTTTATTTATAAAAACTCTTTGCATATCAGTTAATAAATAATTTTTTATAAAAATAGATAGTTAAATACTGAAACTCTTTGCACATATAATAATACTATAGATAAAAAAAAAAAAAAATTTATATCAATTAATAAATATTTTTTTATATAAATAAATAAATACTTAAACACCTTTGCACAACTTTTGTATTTTACTCAGAAAATTAGGTTTTCTATTATTAAAAAATTCATAATAATAAATAGGTTAATCTGAATTTTATTAGGTAGATTTTAGAGTTTGAAGTTTTTTTCTATAAAAACTCTTTTCATATCAATTAATAAATATTTTTTTATATAAATAAATAAATACTGAAATACTGAAACTCATTCCACATTTAATAAATATTTTTTAAATATATAAATAAATACTGAAACTTTATATTTTCTTTCATTAAAAAATATATAATAATAAATAGATAAATAGGTTAATTTGAAATTTATTAGGTAGATTTTAGAGTTTTATATACTTTTTTTTTCTTTTATTTATTTTTTTTTATAAAACTTTTTTCATATCAATTAATAAATATTTTATAAATAAATAAATAAATACTGAAACTCTTTGCACATTTAATAGTTTATTCTCTTTAAATATATTCTTGTCTAATTAAATTAAATTTTATTAAGAAACTCATAATAAAAGTTAATTTGTGATAGAGTGTTAGAAAAATTATTTTATTTTATATATCAATTAATAAGTATTTTTTTTATTAATAATTCTTGTCTAATTCAATTTTCTTTTATTATAAAATTCATAATAATAAATAGGTTAATTTAAATTTTATTAGATAGATTTTGGAGTCTGATAGAGTGTTTTTATTTTTTATTTTTAAAATACTTTTCATATCAATTAATAAATATATATTTTTATAAATAGATACTTAAATACTGAAACTCTTTACACATTTAATAATAGTATAGACAAAATCTTTTTTTATATTAATTAATAAATATTTTTTTATATAATTAAATAAATACTGAAACACTTTGGTAGAACTTTGTATTTTACTCTGAAAATTAGATTTTCTTTTACTAAAACATTGTAATTTGTATACGTGTTAGAGTATTATAGAAAATATTTTTAAACTCTTTTTACATAAATTAATAAATATTTTTATATTTTAATAATTCCTATCTAATTAGATTAGCTTTTATTAAAAAAAAAAAAAAAAAAAAAAAAAAAAAAAAAAAAAAAAAAAACTCATAATAAAAGATAATTTGTGGAAGAATTTTAGAAAAATTATTTTATTTTTTATATCAATTGAAAATATTTTTATATTAATAATTCTTGTCTACTTAGATTTTCTTTTATTAAAAAACTTATAATAAACAAATAGGTAATTTGTGTTAGAGTTTAATATAAACTCTTTTAAAAACTCTTTTTATATCAATTAATATATAATTTTTATTTTAATAATTATTGTCTAATTACATTTAGTTTCATTAAAAAAAACTAATAATAAATAGATAAATAGGTAATTTGTGTTAGAGTTTTTTAAAAACTCTTTTAAAACCTCTTTTTGTATTAGTTAATAAATAATTTTTTATATTAATAATACCTGTTTAATTAGGTTTCTTTTTATTAAAAAACTCATAATAAATAGATAAACAGGTAATTTGTATTATAGTTTTATAGAAACTCTGTTGATAGAGTTTTATGAAAAATAAACTAGGTAATTTGTAATAGAATTTTATAGAAATTATTTTATTTTCTTTAAATATATACTTGTCTAATTGGATTTAATTTTCTTAAGAAACTCATAGTAGAGTTATATAAAAATTATTTTCTTTTGTATATCAATTAATAAATATTTTTTATTTTAATAATTTTTATTCAATTAGATTTATTTTATTAAAAAATTGATAAATATAAATAGATAAATAGGTTAATTTAAATTTTATTATGTAGATTTTAGTGTTTTATCATATTATTTAATAAATATTTTTTTACATAAATAAATAAATACTGAAACTCTTTACACATCTAACAATAGTATAGATAAAAACTCTTTTTATATCAATTAATAAATAAAACTCTTTGACAGAGTTTCTGTATTTTACTCTGTAATTCAACTCTTTTTATATCAATTAATAAATATTTTTTTATATAAATAAATAAATACTGAAACTCTTTGGCAAAACTTCTTTATTTTACTGTGAAATTCTAAATTTCTAGAATTCTCAATTTCTGTACCCTTTCCTCCTTCCTCCTTGCCTCTATTTATAGGTTTCTTGGATGAATAGGATAATGACATGTGTCCTTTTCTGATAATGACATAATCATAATTGGGTCGGGCCAGTTATATTGTAATAATTATTCATAAAAAATAACTAAAAATAAGAGTTTTATATAGAATATGATTGATTTTATTAGGTAATTTTTAGATTTTTATAAAAACTATAATTATTCATAAAAAAAAAACTAAAAATAAGAGTTTTATATAAATTGTGATTGGTTTTATTAGATAATTTAGATTTTCCTTTATTAAGAAACTTGTAATAAATAAATAAATAGGTAATTTGTGTTAGAGTTTAATATAAACTCTTTTAAAAACTCTTTTTATATCAATTAATAAATATTTTTTATTTTAATAATTCTTGTCTAATTAAATTTAC